CCAAAACTCACTACCCGTAAGCCAGACTGAACGGTTTGCACGAATGCATGTGCGGATCAGAAATTTTCCTGCTGTGGTTGTTGTATTCAACACATAACGCTGAAAGAAGACTGGTGTTTAGTGTCCCACCCTTTTAATGTGTTGGGTGTGGGTGAGCAAAGCTCAACAAAGTAAAATAAGCGCAATGCTGAACCGGCACATGTAGGATGGAAATCCGAAATTCGTGGTTTTGGTCTCTTTGAACAATGGCGTAGTGAAATTCGCTAATGACCACCATCAGGTAAGCGGTACCGCATAAGACTGGACCAGACACATTAGCTGCTGAGCCGCACTCATTACAGGTCCTGCAGTTGCTGCGATATCCAGTATTTTGCTCTCAGCCACCGAACACCCGTACGAAAATGTAGATCGGTAACAAATGCTTCGCTAGACCCCTTTGTTCAAGGTTTGCTGCAGTTATGTCAAGACAAACGTACTTACTCAAGGGCCAACCTTTCGACTATCCCAAAAGGCATCCTTTACACGCCCCACTGGTCCCCCTTAATCCAAGTTATTCTGCGCTTGACACGCTGCAACCTACACCAGCAGCATAAGTGCAATCTGGTAGAGTACCCAAGTTGGCGGATATACCACAACCCTGAACGTTGTCAGGCCTCACGGTCATTGAATGTGACTACCAAAGTGCATACAACCGTGGAAAGCATTTAAACATTTAGACGGATGACCGAGATGAATGTCCAGTTCACACTTTTGGGACAGTAACTTAAAGGTAAACACTGACTGTGAGTAGTTTCCTTTATGAAAATATACTGCGATATCTCGAATATCGTGCCAACTGATTCATGAGGCGGCAGCACATTCAGTTGGAGGACATTATAAACGAGAGATTCGATTGAGTCTCCCGTGGAAACCAAATTGATTTGCAAATGAGTGTATTTCTCGAAAAACAGTCCAATTTAGGTTCAAGTAGAACATACGGTTGCCCGAAACTCGGGGACTGCGCCTACCTGATGAGCCCCAAGAAGGGTGAAACCGGTCGTTGTCGGTCGAAGAATTTTCAGCAACCTTGTGAGTAGTATCCTTGACTGACTGGTTTGGAAAGTTCACGACAGGCATCCGACGAACTTACTAAGGACGATGGCCGGAAGACGATTGGAGTCCCTGACTCTACTTCATGCTTGTTGGAGTGCATTTTTGATCAGGCCTCCTCACACGACAGAAGGCATGTTTGGACAGCTTACGTGGCAAAAAGCCAAGACTAGCTTCATTCATTTGTTGAGTTGTGAAATCCTCAGAGTGGATCATTCAATATTAAAAAAGAACCTTGGAATCGAAAGAACTCGCTCCCTCTCTCTAGTGAGGATTTCTCAGTATACCTAATAAGGTCAACAAAATCCAAGCTGGAAACTACCGAACCAGAGAACACAAATGGTTTGGGTACCTATTGGAAGCACGTACAATGAACATCTTTTACTAAAAAAACTCAAAATAAGGGACAAGATAGCCTGATTCTGTTTCTTGACGCGTTCATAACAAGGACAGCAAACGTATCCTGGAAGAAAGAGTCCCCCCTGTGTACCAAGCCGTTCTCGTGAGGAATCACTACAAAGCAATCACAGCAAATAGGTAGTAGCCAAGTGTACTAACGAGCCGGCATTTGGACCCACTGCCATATTTGGAACCCCTTTGGCCTTCCTGGAAGGCAATTGGATGCCTGATGGGAATAAATTACGCATTCCTGGTTACTGACAACAACAGTTCGATTGTGACGAGTCTTCGATGCACAGCTGCCAGTTAACGCGAAGACAACTCAAGGTTAAGATGTTACCAAGTTGTCAAAGCTTAGACGGATACAATCGGAACACCAGGATTCGAGCCATGGACATTCCGTTAGCGAGTGAGTGAACAACTGACCCAGAGAATATAACGGGAGGAAAAATTGTTCTCCCCACCACCCAGGTGAGAAGAGCACTCGTCAAGAAAAGTCAGAACGTAACCAAATTCGCTGCCAGAAAACTGTTTGCGAACTCGGTTAGACCATTAGGGAATCGTTCCCACTTCTACCATTCGAAATTTTGGAAGGGCTTCAGGTGAGGGAAACCAAAAACTGATGGGGACGCGGAGCCCCAATCTTTTCGAAATCACCAAAAAAAATAAAAGATTCGATGCGGTAGACGAGTGAATAACGGTTTTATAAGGAGCAGAACTTGGAGCATTTCATCACCGAAATCTGTCTACTCGTGTGTTCCAAACGTGGAACAGTTCGACTGCATCGACCCGCAAACCTAATGAGGACAACCTCCGCCTACGCTAACCAGCCAACCGATGAATATAGAACAAAACCGACTGAGGCAAATCCCATTGGCTGAAGAACGGAGACAAAAGTGTCCAGAAATACAGGTGACTTTCACAGGAACCGCGAACGAGACCCCATCACGTTTAACGTGACACCAGACATGATCGTGTACAGGCGTCGTAAAACAAAAACAGAAAAAAGAAAGGGCAATAATAAAGAAAGTAAAACAAACGGCGATTGAGTTCCGCCGGGAAAGGAGGTCGAACGTATCTACAGGGATGAGAAAAACGTGGGTGAGGAGCAAGGAGACGCAGATAACCTTGCTTTGTGCAAATATCACACCTGAGTGTGATAGATGTAGGCCAATCCGCCCACAGGTGTAATGCAGCACCACGAATCCTTGGCGAAAGCACTTTTAGGATTGATTTCGCGAGGAGATTGGTGAGCATCATACAAAAGTACGCATGGGCGACAGAAGGCGAAGCAATATATTAACAATAGAGCAGAAAGCAACTACTTTGGACGTAGCTAGTCGTTCCCACGATACTAGCGGTAAGTAGTCACATGGTTCTTTGTTCTGGGACAGTGAACTAAGTTAGACAGGAAGTCATTTCATAGCTTGGTGATGTGGTGTACTAGTGCATTTCTATGAAAGACCATAGATTGTCCGGCAAGTTGAAGCAGGAGGCGTTTCGGGCATTGAATCCAGATCGACGTGCGACTCGAGCCGCTTGACAGGCCAGCGTTATGTGGTCCAGAATACAGAGACCGGATTTGACCAGAACGTGGCGGAATTGTGAGTCTAGAGCTGACACCCCGTCTTTGTTCGTCGCATCCAAATGGGCTCCGTTGCGGATAAGAAGAGCAACAAGAGAGGCCTGAAATTAGGGAATAAAAAGTGCTGTTGGAGTCATTTAATCAACGAGTTTCTCTAGAGATGAACAGGTCTGGATCAATGATAACAAAGAAAAACCTCCCTAAGATTGACGAGGAAAAAAACTCGCCCATGAACGACGAATGTAACGATAGAATTTTCCCTGTTACTGTGAACAACGAGGTGATGTCAGTTTAACGAGTTTTAATCGTAGAATGAAAAGCGTCAGAGACTTTAATAGAGATTTCACCCTGTAAGTGAAGTCAAGCTGTGCTGAAAAGCCGACAAGCAGCCATTTTATCCTCACTGGGATTAGACAGCAAAATGCGTCCAAAGAATATCAGTGGAGATTCGATTTCGCAACCTCGGAGTTGGTAGTTGTAGGCTATACCGTTCGGGCATGAGTGACCGATCGACAGTGTGACAAAATCGCACCTAAACAGGATATTGCGTCAATCACCTTCTAGTCAAGTAATTCACATCACTTTGACTGGTTCCTCGTATAACGACTGAAGAGATGCAAGACTCATTATACGTGCAGTGTCTCCCATTTGGAACTCATAGATTCCGAAAAAACGAACAGGATTTTTAAATCTCCGTGGAAGCGGGAGTTCCGGCATCTAGCGCGGCACGATCACGCACTATCTTAGATAAATTCAGGCAGGCCGGATGCTAGAGTTGGAGCTTAGTCAGCAGCCAATGTGAGTTACATAACCGGTCATGAGTAGGCGAGTGAAAGCGGTCTGCTGCCAGTGAGAATAACGCACCGTTTAGTGGATTTCGCTCCATCCACAATGCACTGTCTCAGGTGGTTAGGACTTCAGTCGATGCACCAGTACTTACTGTTCGCGAACCGCTATCCACGATGAACTATAGGGCGAGTAACGTGTTGATTACCTGATCGCGTGGTCTTTTCGGGTGTGCTGAAACAATCGAACGGAGTGGCGCCAATGCATAGATGTTAGATGAATGAAAATGTGACAACATCTTGGCAAATGACACGACTGGGAATAAAGTAGCGTGGATGGGAAGCTCAGGAGAAACGAAGATCCAGAACATACTTGTTCCTCAGTCTGCAGACGCCGATGGGACAAAACACACATTAGTGGACGCTGACCGTCCACATCGACACAATTGGGGTCGGCTCCAAGCTGAAAGAGTAGGTTGAGCACAGCCACGTTGGGGAAATGACAGATGATGAAGCGACCGACAGTTGAGGTCTCAGGGGAGGAAGCGAGGTGGAGCAGGCTATGGCCATGGTGAACGCGCGGATCTAAGCGAACGAGCCGGTAAACCTGTGGGTGGTTGAGAATGGAAGAGAATGAAGGACTAGTATCAAAGAAGTGTAAAAAAAAACAGTCCATCCTAACTCGAGGATGAACCAGCCTACTAGTCAGTAACCTCACTAAAACATTGTCCTACATTTTTACTGTAGGTCAATCTTGAACCTACCACGTGCCATCGCCACAGACTAGACCTCACTGTGGTGTGGTGGTTTGTGTATCTCTATGACCAAATGAACTTTTGCTCTGGCGCCCACAGAGTTCCTTGCACCAGGTTGGTCGGTGGGTAGGGCTCCGGTACACATGTCCACTCTTGTTCAACTTCGTCATTCGCGACAATGAGGCGAACGCTGGAGGATTTTCAAATCGTTGCTGATGAGACGACATCGTCCACGATGGACAAAAACCATAGCTGACTACCGATGGGCATACGCCTTGCATCTACAAAGTGCCAAGCCGTGCTTCAGGAGGGTAGCTTCTGTATTCAAGAAGACACTGGAAGTTGTAGAGGATTTTACGTACCTCAGCAGTTGCATTAGCTCCGATGAAAGTGTTCGGAGAAATCGGTGAACGAATCTCAAACGCCTGAATCATGTTCGCCTATTCGCCTCACTTGTGGCGTCAAACAGACATATCGTTGATGCGCTTTACCTTCCGGATTGGCGTGCCCGTGACTTTTCCCGTGCTTAGTTGCAATATGTGGCGGCTAACCGATATCAGTGGAGTTTCTTCTAAAATTGTCCGACCGAGCGTTTGGACGTGTAGGCACCCCATAATGCCTAGCACCAGTTCCCTACTTCGTCCAATTGGGGTTTGAAAATAGAACGGAGCCTTGTGGTTGTATCACAGTTAAGCAATCGATACTGCCGTCTTTGATGTAGAAGGTTGACCATTACTGCGAGCTCTGGCGTGATGTAGAAAGTAAGATCTACTTTTTTTTGGATCGAACAACCCACTGGACAGAGTCTATCAGAAATAGCCAATCCATGCGCTGTGGACGACGAGGTTGACATATTCCAGGCCTAGAATCCATATTTAGAATTGTTGATCCGGGCACACAACAATCTTTTTTTATGAACACAGCAGCTGCCTGCGAACAGCGATCAATGGGACTGGAAAGTGTGTAGGAGAACTGGAAATCTATCGAACGCTGACACCAGCATTCAGCTAAAAAAATCGTTCAGCTGTAGCACCCTTCCGGTGCCTAGCTGCCATGTAGCACGAGGGCTGGGATACTGCCAGGTTGCCCAAGCCTAGAGAGGGGAAGCCGAATGGCAAAGGTCGGGTTCGAACCACGGACCTTCCGGTCAGTGAATTCGCGCTCTAACCACTTGGTCCATCTCGCATTCAACATTAAGCTACGGCAACCCAAGTAAATCCAGAACGCCAGCTGATTCTTCCTGGCCTTTATTCGGTGGTATTGGTGGATGACAAAATCACTTCTCGAATTTGGGAGGTCAGATTAGCTTCTGCAAGCCTTCGACGGATATGGTGCCTCTGTTTTACCAATTTGCTTGTCAACCAAGAGGTTTGCAGTGCTGCCGCACGATTCAGTTTTATGAAGCAGAAACCTGGTCGATAAGTGCGAAAGATGCGAAACCAAGACAAAAGCGAGTGCCACTATAAACGCTTTGTATTCAAAGGAACTACATCTATGTTAAACTGTCCAGCACACTGTTGCGTCCTAGATCAATCCTGAGTGGGATTCGCCTAATTTTGTGGTCACGTGATGCAACGTCTGTCGTCTGTAGCTCAATGACGGTACGAGTAGAAATGGGGAGAACGGAAACACATTTCAGTCGTGGAAGATCTGAAGGCACACAACAAAGTTTGGGGGGCGGAAATGTCAATGACCTTTTACAATTACCACACTTTTCAATCAGATAATGTTCTCAGGTTGGGAGGGTATAAAGTAGAGAGCACCATTGTGAGCAGCTGCCAGGGATAGATGCGTCAACTGAATATCTCGATATGAATAAGTAGGACTACGCATGAATTTCAACGAGACTCAATTTACTAGACATTGGTAACGAATCAACTTTTGTGTTGGTAGGAACAAACCCGAGTCGCGACGATCGTCCACAAGTAAATGGACACTTGACGTTAGGATAAAGGTACGGATCATATCGAATCAGGCCACCAAATGTGTGGAAAAAATGATAAACAAGACAGTACCCCAAAACAACGCGAGAGAAGTGTAACATGTGCGTAGATGGCATGCAACCACTTGCAGTACAACGAAGCCCGAGTGCACACACGTACGCTGTTAGATGGAGTTAGATGGTTAAGTCTGCAGCTCGAGTTATCTGGTAATGTGACCGTCACATTCTTATCGACAAACGGAGCATTTGGACAACGGTGCACGTGTATAAAGGCGTGGTTCTCGTCAGAAAGTTGAAACAGATCCAACAAAGCGGCACTGTCCACAGTTCGAACGGCCTCAAAAGTAACCTGTCTGTGGTGACTGGCAGTCCTCAGAAAACTGTAGCTCATGGAGAAAAGGCGTCACAAAATGAACTTGTAAGACTTCATCGTCTGTGGTGAGGTCAGTCTATGCTGAGAGGTCGAGAAATGCCGTATGGCGGAATGTACAGCAGCTCCTCCACTTCTGAAAACAACACCGCACCCGACATAAAATGCTTCGCAACTTCCAGTACCTCTCCCTGGATCGTAAGTGGCGTGTTCAGTGACTGCACGTCCACAAGCATGACCTTACACTTTGTGGGTGCAAAGTGCATACCAAAGGACGGGATGACTTTGGTCAGTTCATCCAAGAATACTTGCGCCTTCTCCTCCTCGAACACGGGAACGATGTCGTCTGCATATTCCAGATCGACAAGGTTTTCTTCACAGGCTATTTGAACACCAGGGTTTTGGAAGTTACTTGGTTTTTTTGACATTCACAACTAACATATTCGTGTACCAACTTCATTCCAAAGTCACCCAAGAGCAGATGGCGTTTAAAAAAATCAAGTAACTTCCCCACTTCAGAGTAAATGGTAGGGAAACCTTAGAGCATCGAAACGTTTCAGCGCTTGTGTTTTGGAAATACGTGACATCAAATTGGTTATATTTTTTCTCCCAGCCAAGGTGGTCCACGGAGTTACCATATTTGTTTGTGTTCATTCATTTAATAAACCAAGGTCGTTCTCCAAATATGCTTTCATAATGTTCCAATTTGGATGAGGCCGGACCAGAGCGCACACCGTTATGATGATAAAGAGTTTTTTGGCCATTCGATTAGGCTACTATGCGCGGTACACGTAGATTCGATGGCCTACGTATCTTAGCGAAGTCAGGTAGCTGACAAATAATTACACTTACAATTTTCGTATGTTCTGCCGCCTTTGCGCGCCTGGACGGAATCAAAAACTTAAGGCAACAGTGGGGAATCGGCGGTGCTTAGTGACCTTGAAATTTCGTCCACTTAAACGAACGTCTGTTACCCGGACAGTAGTGAAATTGGCTGTAAAATATTCAAACGTGAAAACTGAACTAGTGGTCCGAAAACGATGGGGAAACCCAAATTACCTGATACAAAAAGCGACTCTTCAATTCATCCCCAACTGCACTTTGCATCCGCCGGGCAATCGCATCTCGAGAAGGTGAAGTCTCGGGACTACTGCTGGAGTCCACGACGGCATCGAACAGTGCGTCACTCATGCGCATTCGGCTCGGCGGAGGTGTTGAAGGACGTGGAACCGCAGGAGGGCCGACCAACTCTTCCCAGCCATTCGAGGCCCGACGAAGCGGGGAGACAAGCGGAAGGGCACTGGGTTCAGGCAGATAGTGCGTGAGTATCATGGCAATGAAATGTAGGCACAATGCAACGTGGCGCATCAGATTCACTGCTTCCTTGTCTGCTGTTGTGTAGGACCAAGGGTACCGCTGGTGCCAACGGTAGAAGGAGTAGTCCATGCCCCTATTTGGCCAAAAATGAGAAAAGGACATTACAAAGAAGTTGGGATAAACGTGGTGCGTAAAAAAGGTAGCGAATGAGAGTAAAAGTCGTAATCATCACCACCAGATGAGAACACTGGTGTTCAAGCAGATATGGGTAGAGTCCGAGGGGGCGATTGAGTGATACGTGAGGCCCTTATTGAAAAATCTAAGCTCTGAACAGAAACTGCCTCACAGTACGATAAAAAGGCTACTACGAAGGCGTTTTTCACAGATGGGCGGACTGATGGTCTTATGGGGACATACTGATTGGGGTAAAAAAAACGTGAAGGGAACCCAAGTGAATGGCCCGAAGAAATGATACTGAAATCAGCCACAGACATCGTTGGATTCGACTAAGAATGATGAGCCGAACTCAAACCGTACGGGATCCGGGAAGAGGCAACGATGAATGAGGGTGACTTTATAAACAATTTAAGCAGTCACGAAGCTTCGAAAAAAAAACCTTAAAACAGTATACATATCCAGTGTTACACCTCCCACAACGATGCGAACAGTGCCGAATGAAAGGTCCTGTTTTGTGTCAGACCTCTGCTCTGACCTCAAGGTCCAGCAAGCAACATTTGGCCTGTGGATAGAGAACAGTTTTGAGGCGCCACATAATAGCAGGCATTGGTGTTCAACCACACAAACGTACCGTTCAATATTGTCCACAGCCAATTCCAGACAGTCAACAATGAGTACGGGGTCCAAATCGACAGCCGGCAAACCGGTATAATTGTTCGTCAAGACGAACTGGAAAAGTTCGGCGAAACTGACAAACGCAGCTTGGGATACGTGACAGAGGGGCTCGAGGAAAATGCGCTGCAATTCCAGGGCGTAACGCCACAAATTTAAACATTGACGGAAGTTGTCTGCATCTGCGTAGATTGCACCGCGATAGCTGGAGAGGTGAAGGAAGAACACGGGGAGGTTGGGGTAACCATCAACCAAAGTTTGAACAAAATAAATTTGTGTAACAACAATGTGATATGCCACTTAGGGGGCACGATTTGGGGCTGTGAATGAAACTTTCGACCATGTGTAACGTCACTGTTCATCAATCAGAACATGCAGCACTGCTGATGCTCTGAAGAACTAATTCCGAGACTGGCGCAATACAAACACGTAAAGAATGTCAGGGTAGGCGGAACGACACAGGCACGTGATAAGGGTGTAACGCGACTACGAACAAGATGAGCGAAAACAATACATAATGATAGAGATGGAACAAGTATTTTAGCCGATCGCTATAGACACATCGGAAAACAGGGTAAGTGGTTAGCATCTCTTCGGGAGGGGCATGCGAGAGGCAGCAACTGACATAGAACGCAGTTCAAGATTATCCAGGAAAGGGTCTGCCTTCGGAAAGATAACTGTTGGTTGATTATTGTAGTATGGGTGCACGCATGGCCAAAATAAACTGGATTGCGGGGTTTAGAATCACAAGCAATGCATTTCATCGAACAATATGTTAGAAGTAGGCGGGTAGCAGAAAAAAACGACCACTAACCGTATGAAATAAATGGTATCTGGATGGTCCGGTCCGAGGATACGCAGACGAATGAGTAGAGGCTGTAATCGAAGTGAATGAGCGTTTCGCATCAAGTCGCTCAGCTCCTCGCTGTTCACGAATTCACGCACATGCCCGAACGCCTCTTCGCCGCATTGTCTTAAACGCCCAATCATCGGATGGGTCTCGAGGGCCAAGCGGCAACATGAACAAATCCATTTGGAATGCTGACGAAAAGAGAAGAATAGGATAGGATGACAATAAGAGATCACAAAGCATGAGTGGAGTACACCAGGTACCATACGCAAGCATTCAGCAGATCAGCGCGTCTGCTGATCGAATTCAATCACATCATATTGGATTCAGCAATCAGAGATTGGCTTTCGGATACACTGACGAACACGGAGGTTTTGTTGTCTTAGCCCAGACCATCCAAAGGTCGGGATTATATGGTCCAACTATAGAGCTTTCGTAACCGACCCCTTTAGGTCTGAACAGGAACAGTAGCAACGAATCTGAAACTGAGCCTTTGTAATTCTAGTTGGTCCTGACGGACTTATCAGCGATGCAGTTATCCAAGGTTACATATTCTCCTGACATTTCCTCGATTACATTCTCAAAGGAAGGCTGTCAGTCAGCCAGCCTCGACGTGAACTAACGATATAGCATCCACTGTTGGCCTGTTGTATGAACGAAAGTTGGTCTGATTCTCTCTCATCAACAAAATCACCAACTTGCATTGGGCTCTAAGTAAACGGGTTCCCACATGGCAACTAGCTCTACAAACCTCCATACACACTCACCTGAGCAGGTTTTGTAAACATGTTCTGGTGGTTCGGGTGTGTTAATCGGCTGTTGATCAGGCAGCAGATCAACAACCATCTACTCTATAACCGGTGTGCTCATTAGCCTCAATAACACTGAGCTTTCGTTTACAGGAGTAATACTAATAGCCTATCAAAGTATTTCGTTCAGCTGTAACACCCTTTCCGTGCCTAACTGCCATGCTACCTGAAGGAAGCACCAGGGCTGGGATACCATCAGGTTGCCAAAGCCTAGACAGGGGAAGTCGAGGGGCAGCGGTCGGGTTCGGACCACGGACCTTCCGGTCAGTTGATTCGCACTCTAACCACTTGGGCCATATCAAAGTATTTAAGATGCAGGGTTGAAAATGAAGCATCAGTTCGCATTCCAACTGTGCACAAACCAAAACCGCAAATACCACGTGCTGTCCCCCGCAGCACGATCGATATCAACCAGATCCACCGTCATTCACTAGCAAATGAAGAAGGAATTTAACTCGCGCCGATAATAACCGTAAGCTACCGTTTCACACAGTTTCACTGTCCGCAAAACGAACGAAACACCACACGATAATGTGGTGACCTCGGTCCGTTGAAACGGACAAGCAATCAGAAGTTTTTACTTAGGTAGATATACATATGAAACCGTGTATACATATATATATATATATATATATANGACCAAACTAAAATTCTAACAAAACCCGCTCAGCGGGACGTGACGAAAACAACTTTCTTTCCCAAAGTAGCCAGGATGTAAAATTTATTTGTTTGTTTCCTAAACTGAATTCATACTCCAGTTACACTACTGATGACGTTTTCCTAGTTTATAGAGATCCTGGCATCCATTTTGATGAATCTGAGATAATGATTTGAAATTTCTGGCTTTTTTAGATGAGACCACACGTGGTCGGTCCCTTGCGGGTTCTTCGACTGTCCGGATCCCTCCTACAGAATACCGAACAGGATCACCATTAATAACTATCCATAAGTGACCATTAGGGAATAAGTTTAGTGAACTCTCTTACACTAACTTTTGACACTCATCAGAAACGACCTATCGTAGGGGTTTGTTCCACCATTATCGAACAAGTAAATAACCGCCCGCCTGTAACACCTTGTCCCCGCCTAACTGCCATTTTGCCACGAAAACACGAGGGCTGAGATAAAGGAGTGGCCACGGACCTTGCGGTCAGTGAGTTCGTGCCTTAACCACTGAGCACACTTGTCCTCTTTATTTAAAAACGGTTCGAAAGGACGGACATAATTTTGCAAGCGACTTGTGAACGACTGTCGAAAACCGAGGCCTCGAATGTGTCAAACACAGATCAACCATGTTTCGTAGCGGAGCACGCACGGTGGCGTTGTGTACTTGTATTTTAAGTAAGAACTAATGTCACTTCATCATCTGGGCTGGGTCAGGTTGGTAAACGTAGAACTAGGCTTTGACGTAAATGCTGGGATCCCCTTTCCGATAACTCTACCGGGTAGACGAAACATAACTCCTTAGGCAGACCAACTTATCGACAACCTCACCTGCATATCGACCAGGCAATCACCAGACAGTCTAACGATTCATGTATGACTACTGTATATCTAGCGTTTGGTGACTTGATTCAACCATACTGCAGTCAAAGGATGATTTGCGTAGATCATCAATAGCAAGGTTAGAAAGGAAAATCCATCGAAAAAAACAGTGACTATGAGTTCAGATGCAAAGAAACGATACAAAACACACGATTCCATTGGTCTATTCCTAGTCTTGACTGGTAACATCAAAAGCGTTGGGTAACATTCTAGAATCTGGTGGACAGAGTGAAAATCCAAACACTACACCCAGCTCTGCCTGAAAAGCCAGCTTGCTCTAATCGTGTGCGTGCTCATGAAGAGCCACAGAAGTCAGTGCTTTCGGGACTGATGCGTGGGTTGCCACTCAAAAATACCGAGGAGCATTCTTTTCTCCGTAAGTGAATAGGTACTGCGTCAGGGTAGTTAGACATATTTAAATCTACACCACAACCTCGCGCCCAAGTTCAGCTGCGAATGTGGAAACCCGAGACCCGATTCCACCGGAATATTCGAAGCAAATTCATCCCAAACACGACGGACGCGTGACAATCAAATCCGCGAATGAGGACTCATGCAAAACAAACGACACACTGATAGTGATATGAACGAGGCACGCTATACCATCAGAACAATAACAAGAGACGGAAATGCATCAAGTGATCAACGAATTGGTCAACGACCTATTATCTGGAGCAGGCTCAGAATAGTTGGATAGACCTTGAACAGTGGAATGCGATGCGCTAGCAACGTATACGTGAGAAGCATGTGAGAATAGTCAAGGAACAACTCGGTTTGAACACACCGAGCGGCAGGCTTATTCACATTCACCGATATAAATAATCGATCGGGGGCGACACTAGTGCTTCATTACCTCACTGCATCCAATGCATCAAACAGCCTGTGAATCTGAAAGCCACAGGGTTCTCCGGAATACAGTAGTCAGGTTTAGGATAGACAATTCTAAGGAAAGGTCTCTAAAGGAGACGTCTTCCATAGAAGGAGCTATTATACGCGCAATTTGACGCAGAATGTTATCCACATAAGATCAACCGCCCCCTGTGACGCATGAACTTTGGGAACTCCTGCCAAGAAGGCGCGCCAGCAAAGAGGATCGAAGGAAAATAACAGATATGCGGAGATATGATAAAGACAACTAGCAATCGGGCATTTATCATGCATATGTGGTAAAAAGCTGCAAAAAGCAACTGCATTCCGAACTGATGGTTGTATTGCAAAGGCACCTCGTTACCCCCCACCACCACCACCAGCACTGGGCACCTCGACTGCCCCCGCGACTGTACGCAGGTATGTGGAAGTGACGTGTCTCCAGTGTATTATTGGAGCAAGGCTATTGACAAGCAGACATCGGTTGGCATACCGCGAAATTTCTTTTGATTCCGTTAGATTCACATCGACAGTTGTCGATGAATAAGCAGAAAGCGAGATGGCTCAGTGGTTAGAGCGCGAATTCACTGACCGGAAAGTCCGTGTTTCGAACCCGACCTCCGCCTCTCAACTTCTTCTGTCTAGGCTTGGGCAATCCGACCTATTTTTGGTGGCATGGCATTTAGGCATCGGAAAGGGGCCATAGTTGAACGATTTTTTTTTCAAACAAGCTCAGCGGGAACGGTAGACAAACAGTAATATATCTGGGACCAGGAAGCAGAAATCAGAACAACCCACATACAAAAAAACAAGCTAATCTGATTCGTATAACTAGGACCAAACAACGGGCTGATTACGCCAAAAGGAGTAGTTTGTCGGAATGTACTCATTTGCAAACTTATTTGGTTTTTCGAGATATTCAGCTGGGTTCCAGGTGAGTCTCTCGGAAAACCAAATTAGTTTGCAAATTGAGTGTGTTTCGCTAATTTCGTGCATTTCAGTCAACATAAGGTTGACGGAAACTCGGGGACTGCGCCTACCTGATGAGCCCCAATAAGGGCCAAACCAGTCGTGGGCTGTCGACGAATTTACAGCAACCTTATGGGTAGTACATTACAAATATAGAGTAGTTTGTCACTTTGACAGTAGAGTAACCTGCTGTCTTGAGGTAAAATAAGACACAGTAGATCTTTCAAAAAGTACACTAATTCCTAGCGTTGCGAAACATGTGAAAAAGGAGGGCAATACGTAAAAACCCCATTAGGGTATAGATCCCTGGGATAGGGTGGTCGAGACGGAAGCGAAGGAAAACCATTGCAAACAATTAAGGGTGTTTGTGCTGAATGATGGTTATAATAAGACTGACCTGGAGGGAAGGCAGAGGAGAGTGATCCGGCTTGTAAGTGCTCGTTCGCGTACGTGGAGAAAACGTGGAGGACCCACCGGCAACTAAAGAAGAACAAACAAGAATTCAGCGAAAGACTAGACATGTATGGAAAGACAAGGAAAGTGGAGAAACGATGAAAAGAAAACAACGATAATAATCGTCTAATTGTAACACTCTTTTGGGGGCATAGCTGTTATGCCACCCAAAGGAAGCACGACAGGTGAGATATTGCCAAGTTGCCCAAGTCTAAAGAGGAGCAATGGAGATGCAGAGGTCGAGTTCGAACCCGGGACCTTCCAGTCAGTAAGTTCGTCCCTTAACCGCCCAGCCGTTTTGAATCTCGATGAGGAAATGAAGAGTAAGGGAACAGCAACTCCCGTGGTAACCATTTACATCACCAAGCAACCGTAACACGAGCACAGAGGACGTCTCTTCCCAACGTTCCTTTAGGCAACCTCATAATAAGTGTGTTCTTTCACGTACACCAAGTTCTCTTCGGTATAACAGGAGGTGAAGCGAGATTTGCAAACGTGCCAATTTCTCGAAAGTCGAAAGAAGGACCCAAGGAGGCCACTTCAAGGAGGGAGTGGTCACCGAAATAGGTGGTTCACCTCTTGAAACGTCTGTTCCGCTGTTATCGATGCAATTGAATTGTCTCAAACGTATAGGATGAGTTTTCTCCAGTCCACGTCTCCCAGACATACTACGGAGACGAAGTCTGAACAGCTATTGCCAAATACGGGCCACAGACACTAAAATTTTCCCAAGGGTCAAGTTTGGCACTTAAAGATGATGGTTCAAGATCACCAAGACACGTACGGGCATCCGATGAGGGAAGGAATGTGAAATAAACCGTTGTCGCGTTATAAAATCTGGTCACTTCTGGTCACCAGAGACGAACTAGGGAAACGGAAGTGCTTATAGCAAGAGAACCCATGATTTCAAAAGTGATCCCCGATAATCCACTCAGTAACACCACGGATATGTAGGTGAACAACTCGGAGTTGATTGGTCAACGAATGCTTTGTAGGCGTTTGTCGGTCTCTGCTTCGATGGTTGTTGTCATTTCTTCAACATATACATAAAAGACACATTTATCGTCAACTCGGGGATTTTACCATCTGCTGTCCTTGGGTGTTTAGGTGCAACCTCACCCGCTTTACCGCTTTATTCGAGTAGGATAAGCTTCATCCCAGAAAGCAAGAAGTATAGGTAAAGATGCGGCCACGTGAGCACTTCAGTCAGAACAAGGGCTTAATTAACTTTCTGCAAGAAACACCTCATGACCAGTTTCGCCCTTCTTGGGATTCATCAGGCAGGTGAAGTCCCCTGGTTTCCGTCACCTAATGTTATGCTGGGATCCAAATTGTAAGAAATTCGCGAGCAATACTCATAAACGGAAGTTCCGGATGGGATTCAGTTGAATCTTCCGTTAAAACAGAACCCGTGTGTAAATAAGTTCGCATAAATTTGTCACGAGCTGTACCATCGTTGAACGACCGGGTCTGAGAATTTCAACAGTACGCTCAATATACACACAAAATGGGGTAGAGCAACAGCGATACAAAGAGGATTCAGTCCACCGCACACCTACTAGCGTACAGGACGGCCAGAGGTGCCAGCATAAAGTGAACCCTAAGAACGCAGAACAAATAAAACGACGGTGTAGGGTGTGATCACGATGCGTGGCGTTTACGCATGTGTTGCTTTGGGTAAGAAAGACCGATCCTAGGGGGTGGGGGCTACGGGAGGTGATTTCAATCAAACTCGTTCACCGACAGCTCCTTATCAGTGAATAGCAATCCACAGGAAACATGTCACGTGACCCTGGACTTGTCTGCCTATACGACGGTAGTGGACAACTCCACTAGCTAGCAACAAATGAATTCATCCGCTCTAAGCGAGCGGAAATACTGCACTCAGCTTCTAAAAACACCAAAGTCGTAGTTACTGGAAATTCCAAGTGTCAAAGGATATAAGCTCGTAGGACGAAAAGTGGGTTAACGTAACTAAGTTGTCACAACACAAATGACTTTGTTTGAAGTGCGCGAAAACAACTAACTGGTTACTTGAGTCATCCTACGATATTTTCAATCAATTATCACTATGAATAGCAATATACGGATGCTAAGTTGCCGTACAGACATGGATGTAGGTTGTCTTGAAAAGTGTAAAAGGAAACGGGCGAGTATTTAGGACAAAGGAAAACGGTCGAGAGAAGGCTGTACACGCCTTCGAAACCCACTGAAATATGCACAGCGGAACAGTATGTTCGAGCAAGGTGTCAAAAATGAGACCGAGTAAGCCCAGCACGAGACAGAGAAGCAGCTAAGCAGTGACCGCAAGAGAGATCGGCCATCTGCACGAGACACGAGAATTTCTAGTCTCAGCAAAGGTTCGCATCTCCTCTAGGAGCGTATATGGCTTCCAGAAAAGATCCATGGGAAATGCGGAAAAACACGTCTCAAGGTCAATCGAGGGACTGTGGATGATGATGGCGGGAGCCAGTGTTCAGACAGTTTTTAAGCTGTCAAAGATCAATGTCAAACAGTGGTCTCGGAAGCGAAGTTAGGAAATCATAGTGACCACTCGATAAGCGTTAAGGTTAGCTGTAAACTGTAACAGATAGAAGAACAGGTCACAGGGCCTCTTTCATGGTGCTATTTTCGGAAACTTCGACGCAGCCATTTGTCTCCGGGTGATAATTGCTCTTACTATGACATACGCATACGCACATTCTAACAAAAGTTATCTTGATTGATAACAACGTTCAGAAATAAATAAATGGCGTTCCAAGTTGTACCTCGCGTCTTCCACTGTGGCTAAAGTCTAACTGAAATTATGTTTCATGACAAGTAAGTGGGGCACGTGTTTTGAACACATCCACAGAAACATGACTGCGAGCTTGTGACTGAAACTGATTTCTAGGGTGATTAAACAAGTTTTCGAGGACTTTTGCCATTGGTCGGTCCTGATGAGGATAGTGGCGTGCAGAGGAATGGAGATTCCGATTGGGGTAATTCAAGAACAAGGCACAAACAATCAGCAAACCAAATATGATTTCATCACAGTAAAAAGTTCGGTCTGAAGCAACAAATCGTGGCAAAGAAAACGGCACGAGCTTGGTTGAGGATTACTGAATGGTTACGGAAGTCAAGCATCAGTGTTAAACACTGATTTCATGCTGTCGATGATATGAGGATGACAAATCGTGGCAAAGAAAACGGCACGAGCTTGGTTGAGGATTACTGAATGGTTACGGAAGTCAAGCATCAGTGTTAAACACTGATTTCATGCTGTCGATGATTATGAGGATGATGAACGGTTCATTTAAAAATAGCTTCTGAGAGTCTCCACACTTTGTATAACTTTCACTACCTTGCACACTTATGTTCAACCAAAAGGATCAGCTTCCAGAGAGAGGGGGGAAAGGCAACCCTAGGAGAATCCCCAAAGTCACCGTGGCGGTGACATTCATGTATATATCGACTATCAGCCGTATTCGCTTACCTTTTTGGGGACTGAGAGAACATGGCGTACAAATCGAAATCGATGAGGAACCGTTTTCCTGGATGCTGCCCAGTTTGATCATTTCCATCTTACAAACTTCACATCGATTGCGAATAGGGTTACGTCGTTGGTCGCCACGTTTCGAACTATTCGACCATCCGTGCCTCCATTGTGGTCCGGAAGGACGACTCAAAGGCCAGTGGCGAAACCGCGGACAATCCCAACAGGAAGGCTCAATCTTTCGAATGGGATCAGCAGGTGTGGCCGGGTGGACTAGACCAATGACCATATGAGTTCCGGGCGATGACAAGGTCGCTTTTTTGGCTGACAGTAGTCCATCAGGCCGGGCGACAGATGCATCCACTAAGTCGTCTGAACAATGGGGGGAAACCGATCGCCCTATTTCCCTCAAGTACTCTGCATACAACTGTGACTGAAGCTCACGCTGTTTTAAACGGTACAAATTGCACACAGGATCAGTGGTCTCTGTATTTGGTCCAGTGTCACTAGTTGAAGATAAGGTGGAAGACGAAAGTAGAGCGGAACACCGACATGATGAACAAAGGATGTCCCCATCAGCGTACGGTTCACCGGACACGTGTGAATCCCACTGTGAAGTGTAGTTCACAGCTATGGCCTCTCGAGCTGCAAGATTAACCAGAGACCAGTTGGCACCGAAAACATCGACTGCCGATTTGCGTTGAAGTCGTTGACGGCTATCTAAATAGTTTTGTTGTGGATGGTCTGAGCAACCAGACGAGTCCGGCTGTATCTCCTGATCCGAGCATTCACACTGCGGTTGAAACGGTATGAAACTCTTTGGATAGGTGCCAGCCTCCCGACGTAATTTCAACGCCTCGAACCATGCAGCGATGGCATCTTGGACCAATGAGTGACGGTCGAAAAGGCTAGCCCCAAGTAACTCGTAGGCTGCAATCTTTTCGTGAATACTTATAGCAGACGAATCCGTAGGGCTCGAGGCATCGCTCAGTTCCGACAGGTAATCAACAATCTGTATAACAAAGGCAGAACGATTTGGTGATTGGGATGGAGTGTGGAAACTCAAGGTCCAATGCAACGATGTAAGGCAAAATATTTCATTAGGGGGAGGAAGCGGTGAGGGCAGCTGAGCACACTATCTCCTGTCAAGATGCAACCTATACGGCCTACAGGCGAAGACCACAGCTGAAAGGCCCTAGGTCTTCACAGTTGGATCTAATCGATGAGCTTTTATACTCTTGTGTTTGAGTGCTTTTGTGCCGATACCAAGTACGTCAATCTCTGGATTTTAAAATGTATGTTTCAAGGTCATTGGTCAAACCTAGAATTAAAAGACACACGCAGCTATCTACTTAAATAAATGCCATCAATTTTCTTTCTACTTTATTCACTAGAAAAGTTTGGCAACGACTGAAAAACACGGGGTCTTCATTCAATCAACGCCCACTCCCAGGATAGTCCGAGCCTCAATTTGTCAGGTTGTTCACGTAATTCTGTCGCGGTATTTAGCGTCGATAGGCACCCTCATCAACCGTAAAAATTGGGCAACGGACTAGAAACCTTAATTGACACTCAAAATTGATCTGGTGTGCCAAACTGGAGGGCGGTCTTACTGATTAGTTCTCCGTTTGCACTAAAACTAGGCCAAGTTGATGACCTGCTCGTTTGGTCTGATGAGGCCTTTGTGTCAAGAAGAAAACGCTCCCCAGTTAAAAACGATAGACCATTTACCAAGCCCTTCTGAAACGACATCTTCAGCAAGCCTGTATGGATTCGAACAAGCGCAGTGGATGCACTAACGTGGTAACGATGGTGTTGGTTGAGATATGAGCAACCATGACAGAACTTGAAGGTGACAAGAAAGTTGCCAGAACAAAAAAGTAAGGACTTTTACCTTCTTGAATGCAGCGTTCGCACCAGACATGATAGGAGATTGTCCATACTCGTCTTTGCGCATGATTGCCCGGTGTTCAAGCAGGAATTGGAGACCTTTCAAATTCCCACTTTCTGCACAGTCGTGCAGAGCGGTGTTACCTGAAGCACACCAGAATAAGTTGTGCGGATTACGAAGTAGGTGAAATCGGGGACAAGTAACACATTTCAGTACAGTGGAAGATCAGCAGACTAAGTGGTTAGCGTATGGATCGAGTAGCTGGTGAGACAATAAGGAGTGGTCACTTGCGGACGTGGTTGAAGCAAGCTGATACAGAGCTGGGACTGAACGAAAGTAACCCCGTCATCGATTCAGTTTCTAGCTTCGGTTTAACTGAGGATCACCTGTCTTTAATTTTCTGTCTGAGCGGTCGGACAAATAAGACGTAAACATTTCATCCAAAACCTGGTAGTCACCTGATCGCGTCCTCAGTGCAGAATATTTTGTGAAGCGGTCAGTCACATGACACACTAAGCCAGGTTATGCACGCCTGTGAACGTGTTGAAACCCAAACAGCATGCTTAAGGCCTATGAAAAATAATACGTAACAGTCGAACTTAAATCCTGCTATGTGCGCAAACCAACAGTTGGCCATACGCACCCTGGCAGGTAGTAATGAGTACCGTACACCAATGTAACTTAGAGGGATAACCAAAGTCTTATACTTTAAAGAACAGCTATGCAATAACATCAAAGTCCTGTCTAAGTAGAAAGCGGTGGATGGAACCGCTCTTGACAAGGAGCCAAAAAAAACGAAGGATGAGTACATTCTTGAACGTATAATCCGTCAAAATATCATAAAAAGTTGCGAATTACCAAGCTGCAAGTGGAGCTTTGCTCGANAACGAAGGATGAGTACATTCTTGAACGTATAATCCGTCAAAATATCATAAAAAGTTGCGAATTACCAAGCTGCAAGTGGAGCTTTGCTCGACAGTGCTGTCTGGGAATTTCGGAGGCTCGTGTAATGCACATCAGTCGCTGGAACGCATTTCAGCGACTGAAGTGGATGGAGAACTGAGCTGAGGTATTACCGTTATCACGCCAAAAACGGCGCTCCGTTTGCTCACTCACTATCTGTATAGTAAATACGGTGATGCTAAGACCAAAACATGGAAGTTCACCGGAGCATTTGCAAAGCAAAGCACTACCGCAAAGCTACGATAGATTATTACAAATGCTGATTCCTTGATACTCATAACCTATCTATCTGGGTGAATACTGTCTACCAAAGTGTTGAAATATAGAGCGATCAGTTGCCAGGCAGATCTGGAATTTATCGACGAGGGAAGCAAACTTGGAATATTTCGTTTTCTCATAATTTAAGATATACCGATAAGGGTAGAACCTGCGCGAAAACACAATACGATTGATGGCCATTTAATCCTTGAAGAAGCTAGTCAAAACGGTTAACCAGTTTGGCGAATAAGCAATCCCAACACGAGAGCCAAAATTTCTCATCCGTCGTACTGAATTCCGAGAAGATCCATCTATTTACTAATAGGCCGATTCGTGTATACTAAACAAAGGGACCGGGATTGGCGCACCCCATGTAAGATCACAATTGTTGCAAAAAACCACGAGTTAATGGTAACATTGTGTCCTTGGCTTGCTCGCTTGTTCAACTGTAGAACCCTTCGGTCCCTAACTGCCATGCCACCCGAAGGAAGCACGAGGGCTGGGATACTGCCAGGTTGTCCAAGCCTAGACAGGTTAAGTCGCGAGGCAGAGGTCGGTTTGGAATCACAGAACTTCCGCTTGAACCACTTGGGCCATCTCGCCCCGCTTCCTCAATTAGCCGAGCGGATAATGCTGAGGTTGACAATCTTTTGCTACTAGTCATGGTGACATCACCAGGCGTCACCGTGTCGAGCAATGAGTTAGCGGCCACAAAATTAAGACAAGTTGTCGTTCGTATTGGAAAGAAGGAAATTAGGTAGGAGAATAAAACAGACGCAAATAAGTGTATGGGTAAGGCTGGAGCAAGCCTATTTCACGGTGAACCTCGACATTCCCTGATATTCCGAGGAACGCAGAAGGCAATAGTAAGACAGAAAACTGACAGATTCTCTGGAAGGACCGGAAGAACAGTGAATCCTGTGGGGGGAATTTGAAGCACAACAAACCTATGGATACGGTTCAAAGAAATGGGCTTATATTATAAAAGACTGCTTAAGGTGGTTGGATCATATATTACGCATGCCCACCCACCGGATCTGTTGTTGGCGAAAGGCTCGCAGTGAGAAACGAAGATCACTACGCTCAAAGGAGTGGTTTTTGGTCTTCACACCTTGGTTGGGGTCCGTGTGAGCCTTCTTGAAGGATGTTACAAACCCGGCATGACGCAATGCCTAGCCGGTCTCAATGGCGAATATGCTGTCCCTACCTTGGTTAGGTTGTCCAGATAAAGTTTGCCTGTTATTGCACGACGGACGCATGCTGTGTAAGGTTCGTGAAGGACCTTGGATCAATCCCGTCGAATGAATCTCACTCCGATACGATGCCCAGACGCGTTTATTTTGTTGCTGCTAAAGAGCTGGGCATCTTGTTTTTGGTCGGTCGTCATAGGAACACAAAGCTGTTTATGCAAGGTTCCCACCCTCTTACGTTTCCCCCAATTTACTGGGAGATTTTTCCTTATGAATGTACAGCAGATAAACACCAGTATTCATCACTCAAAGATAACCAATGAAGATACCACGATACGACCAGCGTCACCCCGCTATGAAGGGACCTCACATGCCATAGGGACGTGGTTTATGGGCCAGTAGTACTACCCAATCTGCATAAGAACCGTCTAAGGTCCATCAGACAGAACGCTACTGACCTGCGGCTCACAGCTGGAAATGAAAGAGCTAGGGAAGTGCAGTCAAGCGAATGCCAAACCCGAAGGAGTGACTGGACGAAGCCAATCCAAGAATCAGCGGCCATTTCTACGGTTATGCACTCCACACTCTCCTTGCTACTTTGCAGTCCGTACTTGGTTGTGTGGTTGTGTGTGTTGGAGTGCATACTCCAACAAAAGCCGCACGCTGAGGGCTCCGTTCGTACGCCGACTAACCATCTTCTGGGAAGAATTTATCCTATAGTAAAAAGTGGTGACTTGGATAACACCACTCACTGAATTCCAGACAGCATTTTGTTTTAGGACATCCAACTAATTTGAATAAGTATGAAACAAAACTATTGAGGATACTTGTTCTACCCGCAACCGTACTATCAAATGAACAGTGTCTGAAAAGAATCAAACGCAAGCTCTTCTGTCACGCAGAAGGGATTTCAAACTAACTCACAATACACTTTATTGCATCCGGCAATCACATGTTTCAAACGCTCACCCAACGGACAAAATCACAGCTAGGCACCAACGGAATGTGAACTTCAAGACAACGTTTGTTTGAACGATCCGTGAGAATACCAGCTATGGACAATCACGTGCCCTGCCATATGACCTTGTGAACGCGGAGAAGGCGAATGAAGAAAAATACTGCCTAGCCGAGCGGGAAGTTGAGTAAAAGGACAAGGATTGGGTTATTCCGGTTGTGATATTAATGGCGTGAATGAATGTAACCTGTCTTTAACAAGAATTCTGTTATAAAGTGATGTTACAGCGCGTCTAACTGTCTTAATCTCGTTCATCAGTCGGATACATGGTGAGCGACGTGGCAAAGAACTGTGTGGAATTTTCTAGCTGCCTCTACTTGATCAATACCAATGACCAAGTGCCCGTCTAAAATTCCACCCCGAACGCTCCTCAAATGCCCGGAACACTGAACCATCGATGCCCACTACATAACATTGATTCATATGAATTCAGATGGTTTACTGGCCAACAAAACGTTACGGTGATTCCAACACATAAACACGCTGGTAGGCAGTATGACTTTGCAGGCCCTGCTGCGACAGTGAATCTTTCAATTTGATAGTTACAGCGCGGAAAACGGGAGAAATCCTCGGAGACAGTAAGACAGGTGAACTCACCACTCTCTATGAGAAACACTGACGGACTATGCAGCACAGAATTTTCCAATAATCTGAGGACGCATTTCAATCTCATGGGGACCCCGAGACAGTCCACATAAATGGTTAGACATTGTCAGACATGGCCCAGTCGCGCCCTCAATGGCGCTCATGCATCCAAGCTATTGCCTTCAATGCATAGCTCCCTCCCCAATCCCCCCACATGACAGCCCACTGAGAGTGCTGGATTTATGCACCAATTTATCATCTCCCGCCTGCAATGCACAGCTACCTACCCCCTACCCCCAAATCATCGGTGAACGAAACTGCAGAAACTAAAACCCTTGTACGACGAATACGCGGTTATTACACCTGACAATGATGATGTAAAATACTTCTAGATAACACGACTGGTCTGTCGTTTCGAAGACAGGATCAATGAGCTCGTAATTGTGTTCTACCAATGCTGTAGTAGTCCATACAAAGTCGGTCATTTTCACTCTCAATAGCTGGTGGAAATACCAAACGCCGAAAGCGGAGCAGCCAGATGAACTCAGCAGTCCATTTCAGGGAGTGAAGCACGGGAAAAAGAAACGAGACGATGTCATATTTTCACTCACCTTTTGCACTTCGACGATTCACACGAGCCTTTTTACTGAGCAAGAACTCGACAATACGGTCGTGTCTACGGTAACAGCTGATCATAAGACATGTGTGGCCATGTCGATTTGGGATTTCCACGTTGGCTCCGTGGTCAACCAGGAATCTCACGACCTAGAAATAAATTGGACTGCAGTTGAGTAGAGAAAAACGGTAGACAGGAACGATAAGAAAAGGCGGGTGAAAAGTTAGTCAAAATAGAGTCGTCCTTGAAGGCCAACCATAGTCGACATCCATCAAACATAGAGATGAGTAACTGGGTCACAAATGAGAACTAAAAATGAACGACAATATGGGAAAGCTGGAGCAATTTAGTGACCGGCTTAGCCATACTGGTCAGCTATCAGTTCATATCCAAGTATCAATGATCCAACTGCAACACGTCTACTTTGCCTAGCTGCCATGCTGCCCGAAGGAAGCACAAAAGCTAACACACTGTCAGGTTGCTCAAGCCCGGACAGGATCCAAGTATCAATCACCAAAAGTCATCGGAGTTTAGTTTCAATTCAGCGGATTCTTAGTTACTTGCTCGACTTTTAGTTGCACGTATTCTAATGATTTGAAGTCCCCTTCGAAGTTGTGCATTATCCACCCGAATATGGATGGTTGTCAAGCACGGTTACTAGCACCCCACCACGCTGGAAAACATGCTATCACAAACGCTCAGTTGTTAGAGCGTGAATTTACTGACCGCAAGGTTCGTGGTTCGAACCCGACCTCTACCTCTCGACTTCCCCTGTTTAGGCTTGGGCAACCTGGCAGTCCCCCAGCCTTCGTGCTTCCTTCGGGTGGCATGGCCGGTAGGCATCGAAAGGGTGTTACAGCTGAACGAGTTAGAGAGAGAGAGTAGTCACAACAACCCACCGCATCCCGGGGGTAATCGCGGGGTTGCGACCGAAAGGCTCGAACAGAATTAACAAGATTCCCTTCTCTAGTCTTCTCCGGAGTACAAGACCTCTCGGTTAGTCACTGAGGACGGCAATCTAAGGACACTATAAATGAAACCAAGCGAACGGAATACGAGGTCAAAAAAATGGGTTGAAGAGGGTAAGCTTGAAAGTTTACTAAAGCTCATATAGAGAACACATGAAGTGAAAGCAATAACATGGTTCAAAGCTGACTGCCCGTCGAAAGTGACGAGGCCTGGGAGCAAAATACCTCTCCCGCGGAAATCCGGTATTGCTTTCGGTGAGTAAACAAAAATGTTAGACAGTTATATAGGAACCACGTCATACGATTCGGCCACGGCCTTCAACCGAGTTTAGACGGCAGGAAAATGATCGCTTACCTGTTCGTGCCCGTCGAAACATGCGGCACGTAAAGCAGTTGAATTGGTGATCGTGGTGCGATTGACGTCTGCACCTCGAGAGACCAGGAGCTCTACAACCGCCAGATGGCCTGCCGCAGCAGCACACCACAACGGAGGCACACCTTCGACTTGCTCACTTTCGAATTCGACCACGCCGACCTGTTGGACAAGGAGACAAGGGACAGAAAGCACTTTAAGTGCGAATAGGCGCGATTAGAAGGTAACAGGTAGGCAAAAAAATCTGACTGGACACTCCTTCCAAAGAAAATTATTTTGTGGCGATCAAAACTAGGTCGAACTCTACAAAAACAAAAACATAAAACATTACAGGTCTAGTGGCTGAGTTAGACCTATGTGAAGTCCAAACTGTCGATTTTGAGCCGCGTTCGACGGGATGTATACCAAACTCATTCCATAGCGACAAAATACATAAATATCATGCATGAACTACGATCCAATACCACCTGGATTAAGCAGCACTGTTGATGAGTTATCCCAAATTTATAAAGCTAAGGGAAACGAACGTAGGCAACCACGAGTGGTGAGTACCAGGCAACCGTGCAACCATGGATGAGCAACTAGGGGTAACAGAGAGATCATATTGTTGGGCCAAAACCACTAACCCACCACTACGCTCCCCAATAACGCACCGACGACGTCACCTCGATTGGTGATGAAACGTTTGCAATCAAATTGCCCAGCTCAGCGAACAAGCCAACGATCACCTACGCTACCCGGGCTACAAACATTTTCCTCTATAGTAAAAGACCGTTTTGTCAACACATATACCTCTGATCAATGAGGGTACGGTAGAGGTTGATTAGCTTAGCAGACTACTTGGCTGTACAGTTGCCAGATATGGAAGGACACCAAGTTAATGCCTATTAAGTCAAGGCTGAAAGAGCCCATTAGTTGGCATATGAGCAATCGGCAGAGAGGCCCGTGGTTACAGCCTACAAATGACAGTACACATAGTGTTGCTTGGACAAGGAACACCCGAAAATACCAGCTCATTTGTTTCCTTCGAATTTCAAGCAAACTATACATAAAAACACGGTAGCAGCTTGAGGTAGATCGGTGACAAAGCCGCGAGGTTACTGACCGAAATCCTACCTCGACATCTCGACTGCCTTCGTTAAGCTTGGGCAACCTGACAGTATATCAGCCCTGGTGTTTCCATTGAGTGGTGTGGCAGCTGAGCACCGAAAGGGTATAACAGCTGCACGATTTTATGTTAAACATTAATACGGGGTAGCGCCTGACGTTGCTCCAGGGACAACCGATCATCTGTGGGTAGTCACGTGATTTAGCCAGACGGCAAAAGATAAAAGTAGGAGCTACCAAAAATACGAGCCTGTAGTCGAGTAAGGCAGGCGACTTCAAACGCTAGGGCTTGGTAATTAACGGACTATCTATAAGGACTAGGAAACACTTGGGAATGCTTGTTCGACAGACCACCTGGTGAGTCATGTTGTCAAGCCCAATCTACATAGGGAGTTCAGGCACAAGTCTTGACTGTGCCATCATCGTATTGCGTCCGCTCAACATTTCGGATACTTCCGTATAGGGATGGTCTAACACACCTAGTACTTCTATATATACCACAATTAACCAGCCAAGTGGAGGAAAAGCATATTACAGAGTAAGAAGCAAACGGACTAAACGCAATGGAGAACGGTCGAACAACGAAACTCAGATCCCAAATTGACCAACCAAACTACGTGCAGACCATCTCGCGGCTCTTTAAAGAATAACTGCAAGCATATAAATAAAGTAGCATATAAGTACATATAAGTATGTACAAGCAAAGGCAGAAGAGAGGGAATCTATTCACCCAACCCTGTACCAACGATACCTCCTCGAGTGGTGACGAAACGTTTGCAGTCCATCTGCCGAGTTTGACGAACAGACCAAAAACCAGACAGCGAATCCGAGCGTACTTATATTCCTCAACACTGACTTGGGCGCTTCACAGTCTCCAGTCGTATCCCAACAATTTTAATCAACATATTGCGATCCATGGAAGTAGGATGATATGAAAGCAACCTGGATCATTCAGCTCACAAATGGATCTTCACGTTAAGCGGTATGGCATGAAGCCTGAGTCCTGCAAGCCAATGTGTCACCGTCTGAAACCTGCAGGACCACTAAGTGGAGAATGAACGCGTACGTCCAGTATATCCCAGATTCAGTATGAGGCATCAATTACAACAGTAGACGCTGAATATTGTCTTTAGTACAGTGGATAAGGTGAAAATATGAGCCCTTTACAATAGAGAATTCAATATCTAAGTGAAAGTAAACTATGTTGAGAAGCCAAGAAGCACCGTAAAGCTGTTCACCTATGCAAAGAGTCAGCGGCGCGCATCCGAAAAACGTCTAGGGAAGGCTCCAAACGCGGCCTTCGGTCAGTACGGCCACAAGAAGCTGACCAGCACTGACTAACTCATACTTATACGTGATAAAGCGGAATTTTTGAGTAAAGCGGTGGACAAACGGAGCCGAATTCGTCTGTACAATTAACCCCACCACAATCCGTAATGTTGTGGTGAAACCAACGGATGTCAGCAGTCCATTAAGACAGATAATGCTTCAAGAGACGAACGGCTGCAAACAACCCTCATCGACGAAGACCGGAGAGCCTGAGGTGACCTTGCCCCATCCGTACACCGGGCTAGGTAGTAGGGATTTGTATGTATGTCGAATACGAAGGAATTAAATTTATTCTGATACCCTGCTCAGAGTAGCTAATTCAGGACTTGTATGGAGTTGCTACCCAAGTGAAACAAACGGCCACAGGAAGTCCACCCTACGCGGAAGCGTAATGCATCGGCATACCGCTTCAAACGGAGAGGCGAACGAGAAACCAAAACAGAAGTTGATGGGCGCCAAAGGCCATATTTACAAGGTTGCACTGACTGCCTCGTATGGAAGTCAGATTAATTCCGGTGACAGACGGTCAGAACAGCGCTTAAAGTCTCGACAACCGACATCCCGCAAAGATACCCAGAGCTCGTGGACACTCAAGGGTTTAAAAATATATGACCAAAAGGTCGGTATTTGGTTGCAAAATGTCTAATGGAGGACGGTCGAGCACCACACTACAGCACGTTTGTCGTGTGTTACGGAAGAGCAATCACCCAGCAAGTGTTGTTTTCCGTGCTCCATTCACGGGTACATGCATACGCCTTAACAATCCATGACATGGGTTCAAATAGAGTGTTGAGATCATCCACAACAAATACACGTAGGCGAAATTCGTCGTTTGTCATGTGATTTCCTGCCACAGGCGAACATAGCAACGATGGAAAAGCGAATAGTGGAAGATATCTTAAGCTCAAGTAAGCCAGGTTCCAACCGCATAACATAAACGCACGCGTGGAAGCGCTGTATAAGCGCCCCTGCAACTTTGCTGTCAGTACCGATGTCGTATCTCCCTAATACTACCTTTCAAAGGCCACGAAATGGACGAACTTTACCGGAAGAAGTTGTTGTCAGACGGACATACAAAGGCATCCAGGAATGACCCACAAAAGTACCAACCGATGCACATCAATTCAGCGCTGAGCAAAGTGACAGGAATACACCTAAGCCTAATTTGCTGATTGGATTAAAAAGTGGGAAACTCCAACCACACATCGCGCCATCGCTCCCGCCGTATACCTAGCAAGATCCACAAGACCCTCATATATCATCATCACCGACAGCGCGACAGCAGTGTTCAACGCCGATGCTTCGCTGTCGTACCATAATGATGTATTTGAAAGCCATATTCAGAAGATAAGAATAAAGTAACGAGCTAGTTTTCCCTGAGGACTGTCCACAGTCATATTATTATTATACTTGAAATTTGAATTGTCCTGTCTTACCAGAAGCAGTGCTTCCTAAGTTGTTCAAGAATATACCGCCGTTATCAGTAGTAACACTAGAATCTTCTGGCCGACTCTACTTTTCTAATCAACATCAACGTTTCAGTTGAACGCGCTCATCATCATCATCAATCCTCGACAGTATATCAGTGTTCAACACCGATAATTCACTGCCGTACAACCATGATTTATCTGAAGGCCTTATTGTAAAGAAAAGAATAAAGGTGGACGGGGAAGGGAATTAGTGCTGGCTTAGTACAGTCACTCCGAGATGCCTACACCTCCAGACATTCACCAAGGTTATCTGGATAGAAACTGACAACAAGAACGCCACTGACATCAGTTGACAGCCATATCTTTTAGTGTCTCCAACCAGGCGCAGAGGTGATCACATGGTCCGCATCCTGGAAGACGAGTAGCACCGACAGCACCCAAGCGTTTCGTAATCCCCTTCATACTCCTGTGAAGTCAAGGGTTGGCCACATGTCTGCTTCTGTCACTCTGAGTTGGGTATGGAAAATAGAACTCTCTTCGGCAAACGATGGTTCGGTATACGCAACACATGTCACAACCAACGCAGCTTCTGATGTTGGACACATTTCTCAAAGGAAGTATCCGTCGCACAACACTTGCTTCCTATCTGCCTCGTTACGAATATATTCACACCAACCGCACGAGCTATAGTTCTGAGGCGACGATTGTCGAACACCTGAAGACGTCTCAGCTCCGCTGCTTGAGCGGGTCAAGTCTCACAGCTATACAAGACAGCTTGATACACACGTCGCTTGAGATTTAGGGATATACCACATCGACCCCATAGGTACCCCGAACTAACAAACGCGATCCGAGTCTTGCAAACTGGTGCATTAACCTCAGCTGTCACACTACATTCAGAACCGATGTAACTTGCCAGTTACTTGAAGCGCTCCACAAGTTTGGGTGTATCCCCGTGAAATATAAGTGGCGTGCTCACCTACTGCATGTCCAGGAGAATGACCTTACCTTTATGGGTGGAAAGAGCATACCAAAGGACGGGATGACTTTAGTCATTTCAACCGAAAACACGTGCGCCTTCTCTCCGAAGACGAGAGTGATATCGTCTATATATTCCAAACCGACAATGTTTTCGTCACAGGCTATTTGAACACTAGAGTTTTTGAGATCTTTCAGCGTTCGTCTCATTATTTCATCGATCACATAGTCAAAAAGGAATGGAGAAAATGGGCATCCCTGATGGCCACCGCTTATGTACGGAAGCTTTTGGAGAGCTTTTTGAATACTCTCAAACGTCCAGAAGTCTGAGGATACAAAGAACGTATTGTGCTCACAAACATCCGGGGCATTCCTTGATGGGAAAGCGTGTCAAGGAGAACAGATCTATCAACCGACTCAAAAATCCAGGAATATCCAATTTTTGGGTCATTTGTACGTATGCCGTGGTTTATCACCTAACGGAGTGCGAAGATTTGGACAACGCAACCCCTACCAGACCGGAATCTTGCTTGCCGCTTTCGCGTCAGTGTTTCACGAACCATCACAAGGCGACGAAGCACAAGTGACGCTAGCAGGCTCTTCATATATCAAAGCTTTCATTGCACATGGCTAATTTAAGTCACCACATGGGGGTTGTTTCGACAGGAGGCCCACGTCGCCGGACCAAGTGAACGGGACGATCTCTGTACCGTTGGGTTCGCATGTCTCCATCACTTAATTCCCGAGGTACCTGCTGATTCATCAGACACTCGGAGTCGCCTCCCAGAAATGCTACCCTATTGCTTCTTCCTCAATAAGGGACAGGGAAACAGACAGCGTGTAACGGTAACTAATGTGACTGGCCTCTCAAGCCACCCTTTGTATATCACTGACCGTACCATTTGAGTACGCTATCCCGTTGACGTTGGGGTAGAGGTAGCATTAGTCCCTCGGACTATATGATAGCTGACATGTCCACATCGAGCCTGTGAACAGCAAATGACAGCACCATCGACATGCACGGCAAGCGTTAGCTTTCCATAGACTTTCAGCTTCGAAGTCCATTACGGCGGGTGTTTCTCATCAAGCATGCACCACTGACGTCGACTTTCTTCGCCCACCGTCCTCCTCGCAGACAACAAACAGCACCGGCTCGTGGATGCCTGTATAGAGATCATTATCCGTCAGTCAGCTTTTCAGTCACAAACCATGTTCCGTTGACTGAGGAGAAGAGAATAAGGAAATTAGTCGTGCATTAAAGTCAACGACACAGACGACGTTCAATGGCTCAGTTTGTCCGGAATGGTAGGGAGTGAGAGTATACAGACCGTCACGGCCTGCATTTTGGCCCACAGAGCTCCAATCGCTCCAGCGCACTTCAAACCGACGTCCTCGAGCGATACTTCGCCGTTCACTAAGGTTGTCACAATCCTCAGCGGCCCTGAGCCATCACGAGCGATACACAGTGCCACATCGAAACAAAAGACCCACCAATCTTCGTAAAAGCAAACCACATTCTTCATCAAGTGACTGAGAACCCGGGCTAACGTGAATTCGGGCACATAGTCGTCGATTTCCTGAGGTGCCGTATCGAGCAAAATAATTCCCGCATATTGGAGAATGAAGTTCCAGCTATTATTGTGTTGGAATATTGGTAGCTCGGGTATATTCATCAGCAATTGATCAGGTATGAAGGAGATCACGACACGCTTGGGTGCTGTCGGTGCTACTCGTCTTCCAGGATGCGGACCGCGTGATCCTCACTGTGCCTGGTTGGGGACACTAAAAGATATGGCTGTCAACTGATGTCAGTGGCGTTCTTGTTGTCAGTTTCCATCCAGATGACCTTGGTGAATGTCTGGAGGTGTAGGCATCTCGGAGTGACTGTACTAAGCCAGCACTAATTCCCTTCCCCGTCCACCTTTATTCTTTTCTTTACAATAAGGCCTTCAGATAAATCATGGTTGTACGGCAGTGAATTATCGGTGTTGAACACTGATATCATGCTGTCGTTGATGATGATGATGATGATGATGATGATGATGATGATGACTGTTCGTCGAGCTTGGCTTTCCTTTCTCTACAACCTCTGACGCGGTCTGCCGTTTCAAAGGGATGGTAGGCCACTGTCGCCGTTCTAATTCGGATTGTACTGCTCTTGTTAGCCCGCCTAAGCAGCTGACTAGAGGTCAAACGAACGATGATGTCGACCATTCGCCGAATGTATGGTGTGCTTCTCAGGCAGTTAAAGAAGCGCTGGTTTCGGTCATTGGAGACACTAAAAGATATGGCTGTCAACTGATGTCAGTGGCGTTCTTGTTGTCAGTTTCTATCCAGATAACCTTGGTGAATGTCTGGAGGTGTAGGCATCTCGGAGTGACTGTACTAAGCCAGCACTAATTCCCTTCCCCGTCCACCTTTATTCTTTTCTTTACAATAAGGCCTTCAGATAAATCATGGTTGTACGGCAGTGAATTATCGGTGTTGAACACTGATATCATGCTGTCGTTGATGATGATGATGATGATGATGATGATGATGATGATGACTGTTCGTCGAGCTTGGCTTTCCTTTCTCTACAACCTCTGACGCGGTCTGCCGTTTCAAAGGGATGGTAGGCCACTGTCGCCGTTCTAATTCGGATTGTACTGCTCTTGTTAGCCCGCCTAAGCAGCTGACTAGAGGTCAAACGAACGATGATGTCGACCATTCGCCGAATGTATGGTGTGCTTCTCAGGCAGTTAAAGAAGCGCTGGTTTCGGTCACACTGTTCTGTCCATTCGAGACCACCGGCCCGCTTAGCACTGCCGAAGAAGCGTCCAGTTCAGCCGTCGGAGCTTTCCTACAGGAACCGACTCAGGTATGCGGAAACCTTTTGCTTCCTCTTCCAGATGCTCACCACCACCGGAAGCGCGTTACATCACGTTCGGATATGAACTCTTGACGATCTGTTCTGCTATCCAGCACTTTGAGTATGCACTGGAGGGCCAAGCATTCGTGGTCTTCAATGATAACAAGCCCATGGTGTCCGCGTTTCGAAACCACTCGAAACGCTACCCTTCTCAGAGCTTCGAAACTCTAGCACTGTGAAACCATTCCCCACAACCGACAAGGATGTGGCAGTTGTTCCTTCATGTCAGTCGTCGTTCTTGACCTAGTTTCCATGGCCACGTGACGGGTTTTCGTGGCTCCCATGGTACTGCCGAAGCCAACATCCGAGGCACAACCAGGATGACACCGATTCAGTGTTTCTGATTCGGTATACAGAGAAATACCTGTGTGGGTCTACCCGCGCTTGGCTTGCCAATAAGCTAAAATTCGAGATCAGCTGGTCGTTTTCCACGTTTGTGCTCCCGTTTGGCCCACATCCATATGGATTTAGTGTGCGCCTTACCCCCATCCAACGGCACGATCTACTTGTTGACCATCAATGACTGATATGTAGTATGACCTGGAGCCAAACCTATAACAAACGTTAGCGCAGAGACTATTATCCGAACCTTTACCGAACGTCGGTCTCCGCGTACGGCTACCCGGCGACGATCAAGGCCGACAGAGGTTCGCGGTTCAAGAATGCCCGATTCTCAAAGACTTAGTACATTGGAATGCCATCGCACCCACACTAAGACCTACCATCCCTAGGTAAACAGCAAGATTTCGTAAAAGAAACAATCCTTCAGCTGTGACAGCCTTCCGACGCCTAGCTGCCACACCACAAGGCCGTCGATACTGGCAGATTGGCCGAGCCTAGACAGAAGCAGTCAAAATGCCGGGTCGAGCCCCAATCTCGGACCTCCTGGTCTGTAATTTCGCGCTTAAACTGGACCACCTTATCACCAACTTAAAACGTCGATCAGTGCCGTTGACGCTACCCATTGGACTGGTATCAATCCCAGAAATATTTTCCGCAAGTACCCAGCGCCGAAAAACTCTATGATCAACTGTTGTATCCACAAGGGGACTGCTCCGTCTCTGTCTATACGATGTTCCTACGATGCTTCGTTAGCGAAGCATTTTGCTGCCAGATTATCGTCCCCGTCCCAATGACACCCGACCGTCAATCGCAATGTTTTTGTTCCCCAAGTCCTAGGTACATGCATTCACATTTTTGTACGCGTTGCTGGAACAAAGAAACCACCATAGCGTCCAACGTAAAGAAAATTTTCATCACGGAGCGTTGTGGGTGACGCAGGACTGTCAACATTGGTAGGCTAAAACGAGTGCACCTTGAAGGGCCTGAATTTCCAAATAGATCTGCGTCCACTTCCACATTGTCGTTAACTTTTCCAGTTTCGAAATTGGTACAATCGGTGCTTCATTCGATCTCAGCCCCGGATCGGCACTCAGTCGGGGCAACATGCCCGCTGGCTCCAGTGAATCAGCCAAAACACTGCCTTGTATAGTTTATTCTACTCACTGGTTGTAACAACCAAAATTCCAAGTCTTGTCCGTCTCACATAGCTGACTGCATTGTTGCTTATATACAGTAAAGATACTTTCTTACTGTTTATTTTTCGAGTTTTTCACCCTCCTGCCAAACTTCTCTGCTGTTCTACGTACGGAAAACAGTTCAAATCTGGCCGGAGGTATCTGTCATTTGTCTAAACAAATACTCGCCCTTCCATTGTGATTGTTGACACACCCGGACAGAGCCAAAAAGTCAAAGGGCAACTCTATAGTGCAGCAGCATCTAATGCTTACGCATACACCACTTCAGGTCAACCTGTTTTCATACTGGGTGGTCCGCACACTACCGGCCTGCCTGCATGGTGTGAACAACCAAATAAGCTAAAAGGTCATCAGGTAGTCATTTCCCGGTGCATGACGTATCAAGTCCCCTCCTAGGGCCTCCCCCAACTATCGAAGAGCCTCTCAACCTGGAACCCGAAGAGTTTTTGGCGCCTCAGACCTGACAGACCTTACTGTCTGTCAGTGTTACCACGATGAGTGAGCACATGAGTGGAGTCACGATAAATGTAGCTATGTTTCCCAGAGATGTCGACTAAATACACCTCCGTATCACGGCCGTACTAGCGCCCCTTTTGAAAACTCGATGTGATCGCTGTGATAAATACGTTGGCTGAAGCTTGTCCTACTTTTGCATTAAGTTGCGAATGGCATGACGCAAATACGGTGGTCCGAAAACTCCGTAACTGATACCACCATGTACGGCCCCTTATTCTTTCTTTTAAGGGGGATTCGACTACCGACAAATTCACCAGCTCAACACGCCTAAATACCGATGTTCGCCGACTTAACCTGCACACCCGCAAAATACAGATAAACTGTGAGCATTGCTGTTTATGAACTCAAGTGAACACATGGAATCGTTCAGCTGTAACACCCTTTTGGTCCTAGCTGCCCATACAACCCAAAGGTTGCCTGAGGGCTAGGATACCGCCAGGTTGTCCAAGCCTAGACAAGGTAAGTCGAGATGCAGAATTCGGGTTAGAATCTTCCGTTCAGCAAATTCGCGCTCTAACCTGCATATGGTATCACTAACGTATAGCCCAGCATTTTTCTGAGTATGGAACACTGCCCAAAGTGGCTGAACCTGGGAGGCAGACAGAATCCAGAATTCCGAAGGCGAAATAGGGCACACCATTAATCAGGACACTGTATTTCAGACCAGGTAAGAACTGACAAAAAAATCATCCAAAGCGAAATCTCGGACTTATAGAGGCCACTGCCATATGGCAACACAGTCAGAATTCGACTGCTCACTCCCAAACTTTGTGCATAGAAGGGATTCATCCAATCTCACCCACGAAAATGGTTTTGCTCGGCTTTCGTCTGACAATACCGCACCACACGAATATCACTATCACAACAACCTTTTGATTCTTCATTTTTTGACCTATGAGGTGCTCACTGAATAAAATTGTCACCTCATGTTGGTTGATATGCACTGCAATTGTTTCTAAGTGCTTGCTTCGGCTACATTCTGTATTTTACCCAGATGTAACGGCCTTATTGTGCAATCCCCGGTGACTCACACGGTTTCTGTACGCACGCACTGTGAGCGTTGTCGACAAACCAGTGATGCCTAAAGCGCCACCCAGCGACTGTACAGTCGCAAATGAGGTATTTATCGTGCAGGTCCTAGTTGTATAGAACGAACCAATTGTTTGCGAGGTTGTAGTGACAGCATCAGCCCCCCGAGACCATACCTCCCACGCAACTTAGACAGTTAGCTCTTGCGTGAACTTAGACCTAACGAATACCGATTCCCATACCTTAGTCTGAAGGCATTATTGTGGCGGGTTCACTTTTATTCACTTTATTACCATATATAACCTACGACGGCTAGGTGACTCACTGAAAACAAGCGATCGTCTAGCTCACCATTTTCCAGAAGTGAAATCAATACATGAATATTAAGACTCGTGCATTTGTCATTAAAAATCAAAACACACTCACCTGTTCTACATCGGCACCGCAAACATCAATGAGGTATTCTGCAACCTCCCGGTGACCTGAATTTCAGATATCTCAGTCAGCAAAGTCAACATACCATTCCGACATGCAGCAATCAGGCAAGTTTGACCACCGGGGAAGTTGTTGTGAATAACTTGGTCAAGGATAGGTGCGTAACTCTTCAAAGAGTCCAGGTCACCAGAAGTGCAATAATTTAGTATGTTTTGGTCGATTGAACAATTAACATGAACGGGTGTTACATTTGCCATCACGTAATCTAGGGCTGCAGGATCGGAAAAAGTACTCCCCGCAGTGAGCGGGCGCACGCTATGTGATGACACGGCGCACTCGGGTTACTGCGCTGTCATTGGCCAACGAGTGTGACTGGCTCACGGATTTTCACGGATTCACGGATTG